AATAAAAGGAAAGTGGTGTAAGAGTGTGGGCTTGGAGTCCAGCCATGGTCATATCCCAACTCTGCCCACTTGTCAGCTGTGTGACCTTGGTCAAGTCATGTCCGACAAGCCTCAGTGTCTTCCTTTATAAAACACGGTAAAAGTATCTCCGGGGGCATCTGAGGTAGTCCTGTGAGATATGCTTGGCACCCCTAGTAAATGTTTAATAAATCTTTGTTGCTGCCAATGTGAATACTATTTTCTGAATGTCTGGAAGTATGTCGACTAGCAGACTTTTGTCTAAACACCTTAAACTAACAAAAGCTCCAGAAACAAAACTGTTCCCTTCCATCTTGCATTGAGTGGCAGTCCCAGACCTTGCCAAACGCTTTTCAAACATGTTATCTTGCTTAATTTATCAGGAGCTGCCCTGTGCCTGGAAACACAGTCTTCCCCGACGTTTGTTGGGTGGCTGTGATCTGCTCTGGGGATGCTGCCGGGCCTGAGCTGGGCCGTCTTGGCAAAAGTTCAGGAGTTTGATGCTTCTCCAAGTCTTGTAACAAGGAGGAGCCAGAACTTTCTTTCAACAGGCGAAATTGCTTTTCCAAACTGGGTGAGCCAGAACTGGCTCCCTGCCCCCGTCTTCTAATTATCTCCAACTTGATGGCAGTCCTTAGCAGAATCCCAGAACAGGTTGTTGTTGTACCTGTGGGGTCTCCCGGGGTCCCCGTGAACCAGCATGAATTCACAGAAGAAGCCCCGTCCCCAGCGAAGCCCCGAACTGCAGCTCTAGCCGTGTTTCGAGCCTAGACGCTCGTTGAAGTGTGGGCTCCCCTCTCCTTCATTAGACTGTGAGCGGCGGGAAGTCTGTAATTCCTGGCACAGAATAAGGAATCAACTGCTCGTTGATTAATTGAAAGAGCAAGTGAACGAACTACATTTGACACACGCTGTCTTTTGAGAAGAGATTCAGAAACGTGAACTGGAAAGAAATGCAGGTGGGGAAACCCATAGCCTGTGAACAGTCCTGATTAATTTAGGGACTGACCCCCAACACCGAGGAAGAAACCCAGGTCCTGGAGCCCAGGCCGTGTGCCTTTCACCGTCATCCTCAACCGCTGGACGGGGAGGAGAGGAGGGCAGTGCCGGTGGCGAAGGCCAAGCCCCCACCTGGAGCCCGAGTGAGAACAAGGGGCCGAAGTCATACGCAGATATTAACAGGAAGATGGACAGGTTTGGTGTCCATGTGTGTGAAAGAGCCTCAGCGACTTGATCACAAGCTCAATGTGAGTTAACCAGGTGACAAGGATTCTTAAAACTGAGACGGCAATTTTAGAGTCCGATGGTCCACCCGTCTTCCATGTTCCTCACCTCAGAAGTGACAGTAAAGGCATTTACTGAAAACTCAAAAAAAAAAAAAGAAAGAAAGAAAGAAAGAAAAAGAAATGTTGGAAAGGTATAGTTACAAGGGTGTTCTAAGAGTTGCATTTGTAATAGCCCAAACCGAGTAATCTTAATGCTCTGCCAGTGAGAAAGGGGGCTAATTGAATTAGTTGTAGCTCACGGATCCCATGGAATAGTAGGCTGCCTTTTAAGGCACATGGGAATCGTGGCTGATAAAATGAGCTAGCCTGTCTCTCGCCGTTTGAAACCCCTCTGAGATTAATACAAAGTATCGGTCCAGGATGACAGAGACAGGGGAAGTAGGGGCAATAACAGGCGTCAGTAAATACTTTGGAAGGAGAATGTGTTTGTGCGAAAACCCTAGCAAATCAGACGGAACCCAGAGCTGACTGCTGGGTGGAGGCCATCAGGAGAGACCAGCCCCCAAGTGGCTCAGGGACTGAGGCACATATTCCTCTGTCATCAGCCACAAAGGACTCGAGAGGTGTGTTTGCAGGTCAGCAGGACCTGCAGACCCCGCCCCATCCTGCACGGCGGGAGGTCGGCCCTTGTACTCAGGACATGGAAGAACCTACAGACTCCATGTAGGACCCAGACAGGCTGAGTCCACCACAAACGGGGAGAAGTGAGATCCACATGCTGACAGCGGGGCCCTCCCACTGGACTCACACTCCGAAAGCCCACCTTCCACCTCAGACAGGAGGCGGGCACAGTTTGGGGATATTTGGGGATCCCCCACTGAGCCAGCCAAGTTCCTGCCCAGGCACCTCCAGGATCTCACTAGGGTGTCAGCAGACCTCATCCACAGAAACATGCTTAACTCTAGGCAATCGGCCGAGAGATCACCAGAAACTGAGGGAAGGCCGGAATGACAGGTGCTGAGACAAAGAGGGAGCAAAGGCAACTCGAGGGAAAAGACAATGCATAAAATAGAAGAAAACAAAATAAAAACAGTTTCAAAGATATAAATAATAGCCTCAGAGAGAAAAAAGAAGGTTTGTATCCAGGGAGACAAGACAGAATGCTCTTTTAAAAATACAGAAAAAGCTCTTGGAAGTTAAAAATGTAGTCACAAAATTTTAAAAATGTGCCAGAGTTGGAAAATAAAGGACATTTCGAAGAAAGAAAAACATTTTTTAAATTAGGCAAGAATATTCCAGAACAATTATAAAATTGATTTAGAACCCTTAGTGTTCAACTAATCAGACCCCAGAGGGAGGCAGAGAAGAGAAAACGGAGGAAGAAAAAACTCTGGACGAAATAATGCTGGAATATTCTGCAGAATTAAAGGACACAGGGATTGTAGGGACCAACACATGCCCCGACGGTGGGTAACACAACTCCACAGGGCAAGCCATCGTGGAATGTGAGGGCTCCAGAGGGAAAGGGGCCTCAACGCTTGCAGGAGGAAAGCAGGTAACTCCCCCAACACTGACAGCTTGACGGGGTGGGGGGTAGGGGGTCCCCACAGCAGAGCTGTAAGCTGGGAGATGCTGCAGTAACGGGCCCACGTTTTCAGAGACACTTATTTCCAACCTAGGTTTCCACAGGTGCCGCTACCGACTGCTCAGGGTAATGTTTAGAATAAAAACATTTTTGGAGTTTCAAGGTCTCATAACTTTATCTCCCACACATCTTGTCCTAGAAGGCTGATGGAGAAACAAGGGATTAAAAAAATAGTAATAAAGAAACACTAAGAGGGAAAGGAATTTCCAGGACAGTCAATTACAAAAATGTTAGAAAACAAATTAGTTATCAAGTTCAGAGAAAATAAAAAAGTAACCTAGAAAGAAAATGTAGTCAACACACTTACGCCTTTCATACATCTCCGCTGGAGGAACTTCCTCTTGAAGAAAACTTCTGTTTTACATAATTGTATCTATTGTAACTATATATGCATAACTAAGTGTGAATGTAAGTCTTGTGCTATAATTTTTGGAAAGCCTGGGGTGGAAAAGTGTGAGTGTGTGTGTGCGTGCATGCGTGTGCATGTGTGTGTGCGCACAAGTGTGTGTGTGTGCATGCGTGCGTGCGCACGTGTGCGTGCGCCCATGTGTGTGCACGCACATGTGCGCATGTGCGTGCACACGTGTGTGTGTGCCCGTGTGTGTGCATGTGTGTGTGTGTAATTTTGCACACATACATGTATCTCAAAGACTAAACCCTCGTCTAGAGTAGGAAGCCAAAATCTGACGTATAAAAATCAGGAAATCATAGCATAGCTCATTGAAGAGAACAGAGTTTGTGTGTGGCTGCTGGGGTGGGGGCAGTGGACAAGGAATGCTAAGCTTTATGGAACTATTCGGCCTTTTTAGTCTGTTTTACATAAAACATGTTAGAGAATTTTAAAGGTATAAGAAATGGTTATAACGTATTGTTGTAGAAGGAAAGAAAAAATACGACTTTTAAAAGAAAAAGTAAAGACCAGAAGAATGTATGCCAACTGTTGGTAGTTAATCTGAGTGCTAGCAGAGTGGTTTTTATTCCTTCCTTTTGCTTATACAATTTGAAAATTTTTGCAATAAATGTGTATTGCTGATAAAATATTAAAAGGAGACTTTTAACACACACGCACACGCGCACACACACATGCACACACACATGCACATGCACTTATGCTGTGAACCCCAGTTAATAAAGCAGGGGCCACCTGAGCAGGACTAGCGTGCCACAGTGCGGGGAAGGGGGGTGCTGGAGGGCACCTGTCCCAGGATGAGCCCCCGAACCATCGGGACTGACTGGACTGGGGTCCATGGCGTGGCTGCAGGCTCCCTGACGGCAGGACCCCAGCACAGTCGTGGTTCTGTTATTTGCACATCTCCACACACGGTACAGGGCTCTTCAAACACATGTCCATCCGTGAGAGTGACTGGGTGGAAAGTCCACAGTGAGGAGGAGAGCAGGAGAACGAGGCACTGTTTCAGAAGCAAGGGGCCAGACACAGTGGATGTGGTCTCTCGCCGTTTAGCTCTGTCCAGCGCTGACCCGCAGCCTTGAGCAGCTGTGAGTTTGTCGTTGCCTCTGACGGCAGCTGGGCGCCTGCCCTGGATGGGAATGACCCACATGTCGACAAGCTGCGCTGTGATCGCAGGTCCCGGTCAGCCTGGGCAGCTGTGAGTCCTGGCTGCCCTGGTCGCGCGGGGACGGGAGAGCGAGCAGAAGGCAGGACAAGGGTGACGCTGGAGCCGCCCCTTCCGTTCTCCCCCTGCCTGGGCACCGTCATGGCAGCTCTTGATGACGCTTTCAGAAGGAATAGTTCTCTTCGGCGTTTGATTAACGACTAAGGATCCCCTTTCTCATATGTAGGCTGAGGAGAAGTTACCAAGTTGCCTGCTTTGCTGGAGTCCCCCTGAAATACGGGGCACAGCCCCAGCCCGTGCTCAGAGGGGTCTTGAGGGGTGTCTGTGAGCATTCCTGGGTCACCTCAGGGCCACTCCTGGGTGACACAGCAAGCCTTCACCCCACTGTCCACCCAGGGCCCCCAGAAAGGGGACTGGCCATCAGGCAGCCCCCTTAGAGCACCTCATCCCACAGGGCTTGTCCAAGCTGAATCCCACAGGCACCCCACTCATGGCAGAAGCACCCCGACACTGACTGCCCTTCTTTGTGCTTCACAGGTGTCTCTGGGGTCACAGATGGACTTACAGAAAAAGAAGAGGCGGGCGCCAGCCCCCCCGCCACCGCAGCCCCCGCCGCCCAGCCCCCTGGGGCCCACGCGCGTGGAGGACCGGGAAGAGAACAGGAAGAGCGCCACCGGTGAGTGAGCTGTGAGCTGGTGCACGCCTCTGGGGCTTGCGCCCGTGTGGGAGTTGAGCACTGCTTCTAACCCCTGCGGTGGCTTCCTCCCGGCAGCGTTAACATGCACGATACTTATGCTCAAGGAAGAAAGTCTGGAAATAAACAGTCTGGAATTGCGAGTTCCCGTAATACCTTACGGGCATACTTGCTGGGCGCGATGTGGGCATTTACAAGGTGGGGACGGTGGAGAATGGCCGAAGGAGCTGGGGCAGTTTGGATGCGTGATGTGTGTCTCTGGTGGTTCTCGGGGTGATGTGTGTGGATGCTGCTTTGAAACACATTTAAGCCTCAGGGGATCTATAAGTCAGGTGACAACAGTTTAGTCATTTGTGACTGCCCTATTTGACAGTGATCTCTACTTACAACCTTTTACATATGCACCAAAGGCCCTGATATTTATGAAAAGAGAGAACCCAAAGGAAGGAGGGTGGAATCATAGTATCTGTGGGGAGAGGGGCCTATGAGATCATTACATCCCACCCCCCTCATTACACATCAAGTGAAATGACAGAGGTCTCTAGATTCATGAGCTGGGGATGCCTTGTTTTTATTCTAAAATCACTCGGTGTTATTTCATTTGTGTGGAGTACAGTGGGTCTTGGAGAGCAGGGGTTGCTTGAGACAACCCCCCATGACCGCAGGTGCATCGCAGCTCATTATGGAAGCCGTCGGATGCCCTCGCCAATGCCATTCCCTCCACTTGGCACCCTCACATTTAGCCTCAAGGGAAAGGGCTCCCAGGATAAGAGGTCATTGTCAGTGTCTAAAACTTCAGTAGGAGCTGCTGAGCTGTTTGTCAGTGGTTTTCCCCTAGTCACTACCTCACTCTTAATATCGGAGCATTTCACAGCCCGGGACTCGACCGCCCTAAGGAGCAATAGCCTATATTTCATGTCAGTTTGTCCCCTGCCCCAAAGAGAAATACTGTCAAGTTTAAAGAAAACATGATCAGGAAGTAGCTCACTCAAATAAACCTAGTTTTCTCCTCCTTCCCGGTGAACCCCCCTTCTTCCTTTCAAGCTTTCTCCCCACTCTTTTTGCGAAAAGACGACAACCCTCAGATTTAGTTTCCTGTGGAAATCCTAACAAATGTCCACTTAAAGTGGCAGTGTAGATCTGGCTGAGTCATGCCAATCCCCAGGCCAGACAGCCTGTGTCAACATAAGGACAAACCCCCTGATTCAAACTCGAAGGGCTGAGGCCTCATGCCCGTTGTGCTTGGAGAGCCAGGCCTGGCTGTGGGCAGTCTGCCAGAGCCCACAGGTGGCACATGAAGGCAGGTGGGTGTTTTAAAATAAAAGCTGTAGGGGCAATTCCCTCGCTAAGGAACATGTTACAAAGGGCAGGTGTGAGTGGCAGTAGTAGGTTGCATTAGGAAATTTAATAACTCCCTACCAGTGCCTCTCTGGTCCATACACTTTTGTTTGTGAGGATTGAAAAGGAGTTGTAGAAGCTCCCTCCTTACTGAAAATAACTTCGAGTATTTTTTGAGGTCAGGACAATGGTAGAGAAGGTCTTGGTAGCCATTTCAAGGCAGACCTCCATCCCCATCAGAGAGCCCCATGAATTCAAAGTACAATAATAGCACCACAGGAAGACCTTTTCACCAAAGCGTAGGCTCAGGGTTACAAGGTAAAAGATGAAAATCATAAAAGTGGCCCTTGTCCAAAAAAAAGAAAAAAAAAGTTGACCATCTTTTCTTATTCAGACATACTAGCTGGCTAGATTTGGGTTTTGACCCAAATTTCTTGGTAAACAAAACTCGGCTTCTCATAGACAGCCTGTGCCTTGCTCGTGGGGACGCCATCTCGTGCCAGGTACTCCCTGGGCCAAACAGCACTTACCCACACTGCTTTTGAGGGAGAAAATGCTGTGTAGATGTGGGGAAGTTAACTTTTTCCACATCCAAAGAACTGTAACCAACTGGAGGAATAACTGGGTATATCTCTTGATGGAGAAACAAAACTTCATAATATTTTTATTAACACCCTGATAAAGAACGTGAAGCATAGAATCTATTAGTTTCTAAGAGATTCTAAACTTTAAAGCTTGAAGAAAGTATTTTTAAATGAAATAATAGTAAGCACAACTTGTGACAGTTGTAATTAATACCATTTATTATATTAAGTCATTGACTTGCAAGAATTTTGTTAACAGAAGAAAGACATTTTCCTATAAAATTGTCAATGGACCCCAGTGTGTAAATAGATCAGAGGGGCTGTTGTGATGGTCTGGGAGGTAGAATAAAGGGGGTAGGGAGCGGGCACCACTCCCAACTCTTTCTCCAATTCAGGACCCTCTTCAAAACAGAGTTTGGAAACGGTCACCCTAAACAATGGAACAGGTTGATAGAATAAATGGGCTTAAAGAGGTAAGCTACATTAGGGCACTTCATCTGGAATAAGTAACAGATACAGAAAAGCTAAACAACAAACCTGTGACCTGGAATAGACTCACATTAATAAAAGGAGTTCCTTTTAACTTGACAGAGATGTTTAGGGGGCATTTAAGAATAGTTTTAAGCCCAGCATTTAAAAATAGTTGCACCTACTAGAAACAAATTACCACTGGGCAGGTATTTCCCAATTGGCCTGAGGTTAGAGCACTGTGTATGTAAAATATTCAGGTATGAGTGTGGCTGGATTTAGTACTGAGTGAGGGATTTGGTACCTGGTGTGGCTGAAGTCGGTGCTAGATGTGGTTGAATTTGGTGCTGGGTGAGGTTGGATTTTGGGATTTGGTGCTGTGTGGTTGAACTTGGTGCCATGTTGTTGAATTTGGTACTTGGAAAGTTGGATTTGGTGCCGAGAAAGTTGGATTTGGTGCTGGGTTGGGTTGGATTTGGTGCTGTGTGGTTGGATTTGGTGCCATGAGGTTGGATTTGGTGCCCTGTGTGGTTGGAGTTGGTGCTGTGAGGTTAGATTTGGTGCTGAGTGAGGTTGGATTTGGTGCTGTGAGGTTGGATTTGGTGCCCTGTGTGGTTGGAGTTGGTGCTGAGTGAGGTGGGATTTGGTGCCCTGTGTGGTTGGAGTTGGTGCCTGCGAGTCTGCCTCTGGAGCTGTGAGGTTGTCCCTGGTACAGGGGACTGGATGAGGTGCCTCTTGGAGGGCAGGGAGCCTCTGGCTTCCCCTCTGAAGTAACCTCCATTGATTCCATGTAGGTATTGGCCGGCAGGTGCCACAAAAGCCTCCCAGAGGCACTGCTCGGGGTCCCCCCCAGCTAGTGCTCCCCCCGCCCCCACCCTACCCTCCTCCAGACACAGACGCGGCAGAGCCTTTCGGCTTTCCGGGGGAAGGCGCGGCTTCCGAGGCCTCCAACCCGAGACCCACACGTACGTGCCTCCATTTTCTTGTCCATGTGTGTTGACCACTCATCTCTCTGGTCCCCGGTGTCGGGGCTGCTTTCCAGACTTTCCATACTCGCTTGGGATGTTTGTGCCTTTCCTCTCCAGCTTTTTATTCCAAATGCTCAGTGCAGCGTGTCCTGTTTACCAGTGAATGCCATGCAGGAACCTGTAAAAAATGATTTAGCCCATTCATCATTCAGACTGTGGTCAGACTTCGGCCAAGATCATACCGTGTGGGTGGAGACAGTCAGCTGGGTGGAGACAGTCAGTCAGCTGGAGTCTCACAATCCTCAGAGCAGAACTCAGCTCAGCAAGTCTGCAGATGGCGGCGGCCAGCACAGCCCCCCACAGTGATGAGACGTGCAGGTCAGCCCACCGGGCAAGCTGCGAGCACACAGGAGGGCCGTCGTCAAGACCTGGAGGGCTAACGCGTTAGACCCTTGGCCCACGCGGCCAGTGGCCAAGCAGTAGTGCTGTCACTGTGAAGGCACCAGAGGGGACACTGCGGGACTCGAGTGTGGGAAGAGCCAGAAGGAAACCCTCCTTCTGTGTCTGTCTTGTCACATCCTGTCTGAGATCAGGCTCTCCTCATCGTTTCCTGGGATTTCTTTTGGACGATGAGAAACACAACATAGCATTCCCGCCTCCAGCTGTGCAGCAGTTGATGTGTTTAACGGTATAGATACATATAAAGAGGCCATCCTCCATACGCAAGCCCATGTGCGTCTCCATCAGGACCCCCTACTCCCCCCCACCCTGTACAGTGATGTCTCTTCATAAAGCTGGCACGTCCCGGACTGCATTTCCTAGCAGCATAATGTCACTCTGCACTCAGCCCAGTGAGCGGCTGGTGCCCACACGAGTGCTAGAAAGTTCCTGCCTGCCTACCGTTGGACCACTTGGTTCTTTTCCATCCTCTCTGGAAATGATGACTCGCTTACTGCCAGCTTCTGGGGAGAGAAGATAACTGTTGGATTACTTTCTCTAGGCAAAATAATCCTGATTCATTTTATCTTTCTTTACAAATACCTCTCTTCCATCCTTAAAGCGTTTGATCATCTTGACATTGCCCATGCTCCCGAATGCAGATGAATTTTTATAGGGCGTTCAGAAATTCAGGACTAGACGTATCGGTCCCAAAGATGGCAGCTGAGGCTCAGGCAACGCCAAGCGTTGCATCCCTGAATCGAGTGGGTTTGAGCCCCACACACCAAGGCCCTGAGCGTCAGTGGCCACGCCTCGGGCCGCTCCCCTCACCCACAGATGTGCTTCCCTAGGAAACCAGTGAGGGAGGAACAGCGGAGCGAACACTATCAAGCTGAGTACAGCGCACTGGCAGTTAGGGAACGGCCACAAGACCAGGAGCTCTGTGGGGCCTACAGGATGGAAGGGCCAGGCCTCATACACCGTTGCACACTGACCTTGTGCAAAGCCGCAGGCCCCTGGGCCTCCCTGCGTGTGGGGGCCACCGGCCGTGTGTGCCGTCCGCTGGGAAGAGGGGCAAGCAGCGGCCGGGAGGGCGGCTCACAAAGCCCCATGTCGGACTTGAGGAGTAAGGCTCCCTCCCGGTCTCCGGGGCTCTGACAGCGTTGCCCTCTCCTGTGCCTTGCAGACTTTCAAAAAGAGGTGAGAGTAGAGGATGGAGCCGTGCCACAGACTTGGGCCAGCCAAGACGACACTCACTTTCTTCTCGCCACATGGCGCTGTGTCCCCTTTCACGTCCCCATGTAAACCCTTCCCGTGAGCGTACTCTCCCAGATCCGTGTCGTCCAGAGCATCCCCGGCCCCCCTTCTCCTCCTCTGCACGCCCACAGATAGGCCAGTTCTCCAAGGAAGAACAGGTGGGCAGGAGACAGGGGCCCTATGAGGATCCCGTCCCCGCGGGACCGGGCTCCCCCAGTGTTTGTCCTGCCCCTGTCCCCTGGCTGCTGGTGCCCTGGAAGTCAGTGCGTCCAACATGAGCGTCTGTCTTTCCTAATGAGCAGAGCTGCCTGACCCCTGACCAGTGGCTGGCACAGCATTCAACACGGGCTCTCCTGCCCGGCCAGGCAGAAGGCAACTCGCCTCTTTGATTCAGGTCTTGAAAGATGTTAAGGAAAATGAATCCTTTGTTGTCATTTGTTTTATTTTTCCCACGTTGAAACCTGGGTGTACTTTCCCATCTCAAGGGAGCAGTAGATTGTTAGCTCATAAAATGTTTCATGGGACTGTCTGCCCCTCGCTGGCGTCTGCACCTCACTACGCTCCCACTCAAACTCCTGGTTCTTTCTAGCTGCAGAAGCTCAGTAGGTTGGTCACAAACCCGTGTATATCTCCTCCTGGGTTCCATGTTAGGCCTGTGTCCCTTGTAAAAGAAACGGTGTGTTCATGGTGGAAACTTACCGAGTACCCATGAGGACCAGGTGGTCCACGTGGCGTCTGACATGAGTTCTCTCTCAGCCCACACCACTGCTCTGCCATTGGGAGAAACTGAGCCAGAGAATTATGTCATGGGCCCAGGGCCTTACCACAGAATCGGTACAGCGGGAACGCTCAGTACGGCACCTCGGGCCCTCAAGCTTTCTTTTCAGTCGTTTCCTGGTCTGGCTGTTAGGGTGCCTTCAGCTGTGTGGTGGGTACCTCTAACGTGGTTCCCAGTGACCCCCATTCCCTGTGGTCACCCCTTTGTGTAACCTCCCCTTGAACATGGAAAGGGTTTAGTGACTCCTGTCTAATGAACAGAATATGGCAGAAGTAGCGGCATGTCTCTTATCACTTGTGAGATTAGGTAACAGGAGACCGTGGCTTCTGTCCTGGGCGCCCTCTCTCACTCACTCACTCTGGGAGAAGCCAGCTGCCATGTTCGGAGCTGCTGTCTGGAGAGATCCCCATGCAAAGGGCTGGGAGGGGTCACCCCGCCACCGGCCGGGGAGGAGCGAAAGCCCTCAGGCCACTGACTGTGAGAGCTGCGTCCGGCCAACGGCCACTGGGGTGACCAGGAAGCGGATCCTGTCTCAGCAGGGCCCCCAGTTGAGACCACAGCTTTAACTGACACCTTGATGACAGCCTGAGAGACCACGAGTGGGAGGCACCCCGCTATGCTGTGCCCAATTCCAGACCCATAGACGCTGAGGGTGATCAGTGCTCAATGTTTGAATAACCCTCTAAGGTTTGAGGTAATTTGCTCTGTAGCAATTGATAGCTAATACAAATTACAAGTAAGAGAACCCCGTCTCAAATCTACTTACAGTTAGGGCGGTCTTATCTCCTGCACCAGGAATCTCAGCGTGGAGCAGACTTCATGTTGGTTAAATCTGAAGCCGGAAGTTGCCAGGGCTCCAGGTTCGTTCCGTCTCTTCTCTGTGTCGTCTTTGGGGCTGACCCCTCCTCAGGCTGGTACTGACGGGGCTGAGGCTGCTCCAGGCGTCACCTCCAGATGCCAGAATCTGCAGAGGAGGAAGACACACTATCTCTTCTAATAGTTTTGTGGGAAAAGGCAACTGCCCCCAGAAACCCCCACCTGCAGCTTCTGCCGTGTCTCACTGACCGCAGCTGAGTAATACACAGACCCAGTCCCTGGGGTGAAGGCAGTCACTCTAGGAGAGGCAGCCCCGTGCCAACGGCCGGCCATCAGGTCAGCTGCCTCTGAGGTGTATGGAGGTCAGCTCTGCAGCCCTGTTAACAGGAAATGTGGGGAACACACACCTCGTGAACAGCCAGCAGTGTCCCCTAGCCGGGTGGCAGCCCCCAGCTTGGTTGCTGCACAGAGGTGGTGAGGCATTGTTATAGATAAGTAGGTGCAGCAAGGGGACTGTGTGCCCCTGGTAAAGTCAAGTGGGTGACGCAAAGGCAGTGTGGCCAAGCACCTGAAAGTCAGAAGTCTCCAAGGAACCGTCCTCCTCAAAGGACAATTTAAATGTAGGACTGGCCACGCCAGGCCTGGCCTCCACCTCCATTTGTCATTTCCTGCTTTTGCAGACCAGAGGAGATGCCGGAAATGCCCCTGACGTTAGGATATGCCCACTTAGTACCTGTGGACTACAGAGTCTGGTTTCTCCACAATCTTAGTAGCTACGAGGATGACAGAATCGGGTTGGTGAAGTTATGTCTGACCTATAAATATTTGGAATCCTGTATCTCATTTAAAAACACTTTCTGCTATAAGAAGCATACTTTTGTCCCTTCCAAAGTGAGCTTATAGTAGACACAACACAGCCTTTCTGAAGTCACCCTGGGGCGAGTGGGAAGCGGTGTGTGCCAAGGACTTGCTCTCTGCCGTCGCCTGTGCAGGGTTGCAGCTCCCCTTTGCCTGATCTGTGCTGTCAGCTCCTGTCTGGCAGCCCTGGCTAGGTCAAGGTCAGCTGGTAGAGTCCAAGTTGGTAAATACTTACTGCACGTGTGGGAGGAGAATGGCTAAGCTGTGTCACCTCTCAAAGCCTATGGCACAGAGGTCATCGTGACTGGGTCTGTGGAAATGTGTTTGAGCTTTTTTGGTGTAATCATAGTAACAGTGGAATAGTGGTTCCCTGCTCTGTGTTCTATTATCTTTTTGTTTCTTTTTAATATGATTGCGTATTGCCCTTCAGATAGTTAATAACGACCATGGCTGCTTTGTGTGCATGTCTAAACCAGTGTAATTGTGCGTATGCATTTTTTTGCTCGTAACTTTCTAACCAGGTTGCTGTCTGCTGACATTTGATTTCGGTTGAATCACAGTGATGGAGCCTAACCCACTAATTGCATTGAATTGTTTGTTTATAAGATTTGCAGTTCTGTTTATGATTAGGCTATTAATAAGTCATCAATTTCTTATTCCAATGAGAAGACCCTGGGGATTTAAAAATCAATGCATACAGAGCTCAAATTACAGAACCTCGATTTGCTTTATATTTTTAAAATTAAACTGTCTAGTGACTTTCATTTTTTTATACATTTTCCTACACCAGCCTTGAGCAAATCAATCTTTCCGTGGGCATACGTTTCCAGGGTAATTGGCAAAGAATTTT